AAAAAATACAGACAGTATGAGTTATTCCACATGTTGCCAAGCAACTTGCCAAGTGACCTTAGGGGAAGAACAATCCAAAGCAATACTTTTTCCTTGTGGTTTGCCTTTTTTGTCACACATCTATCTATTTTCATCCTCTCCCCTCTCACTTAGCTACAGTCATCGCAATCTCTACCAAGTTTCCAATTCAATGCTCTCTTTGGACTTTAAATTCCACTGGATCATCCTTTTAGGTGCTACCTATCATAGCCTCCAGGAACAGCCCAACTCCAGAGACCTTCAAGGTCAAACCATTTTGTCACTAGCCGAAGTTCCAAATTTTTACTCTGATCATGTCCTATCTATGTAAGCAAAACAGATTTGTGCTTCCACCACCATACTTCTGGGCTTTAGAATTAATCCAATCAATTTCATTTCATGATATCTGTTCCTAGGGACCACTTTAAGTAATTCATTTACTATGAAAAAACACATAGGAAACAATCAAGGAACCATAACAGAAATATATGCTCTTACTTAAGGTTCAAACAAATGTCACCTCCTGTATGAAGCCTTCTCCACCAGCCAGAAGTTTGTTCAAAAGTTATTTATGAACATGTCCTACCTTCTCTACTAGATTGAGAGTTCCTTCAGCCCAGTAGCCATTCCATATTTACCTTTGTAACCTATATTGTGTACAACGCAGTGTTAGATATGTCTATTCAATGAGTACCTGTGTGCTATATTTATTTGTGTGCATATTAATGTGTGTACATACATGAAACTAAGTTTAGCACTGAGAAAAAAATATATATATATAAAGAAATTAGGAACTTTCTGAAAGCTTAAGTCAGTTACCTTTGATAACAAAACTGCTAACATCAGTTACAAAACTGCAAACCACATACACAGGCATTTCTTGTACACCATAAATTGTTAAAATCTGAAGCTATTATCCTCATAACATAAAGTCATGTAGAGAGCCAAAGATATAATTTTTGTGAAAATAAAAGATTCATATCCTAAGTATAATTTTAAAGTAGCATTCTGTGCTAAGAACTTTATTAGAAAATAAATCATTTACTCACCCATTGATGTTCACTATCATTCAACAATAATAAAATTCTTACTTTCTTTATCTTAATTTTGATTCAAAAATGTCATTTTTTTTCCTGTGGCAAATTTTTACCTGTTCACTTTTGTGTGTGTGTATGTTGTCTCAATTTTTTAGAGAACCGGTTTAGATTTCAACCGTAACATCAATAACGTTATCTTAAGTTTTGAAAGAAAAAGAGTAGTATTTAAAGCCTTTTTGATGACCAATTTGTTATTAAATTTAGCTAGTTGAAATGTTATTTCAACATTTCTCGAAAATTCATGTAAAGATCACAGTATAAATTTTCTGGGAATTTACTATATGAATAAACTAATAAAAAGAAAACTTAGGTAGAGGAGTGTTTGAAATGTATCTGGGAGGAGAGATCTCCAAATTCTAATCTATATTGAAAAGTGAGTCACTGTCTTTTTCCTTAAAAGAATAAAGTTGTCAACAGGCTAGAATTTTGTATCTTTTAAAATTTAAGTATGGAGAAGAATTGAAACCATAAAGATTTCAAATCGTCAGACTTTTAAATTTGTTCACTTGTACAGTAACACCCAGAAAGGGCTGCTTTTCTAAGTGATGATGAAATCACCTCCAAACCCGTCTATATTATCGTACTCTACTTGACCATGGTGAAAGGATGAATCGTTCTGTTAGATGTTATTTTAACTCGTGATTTAAAGCTATGCGGCCAAACATTTCAAAATTGTTCATACAGTCTTAAACAAATAACATGACTAACAGCGCTCCCTCGTAAATTTGAAGAAACGTAGATTTTGAAATTATATTCTACCTCCTCGATTCCATTTAATTACCCTATGTCAATATCGATATTGCAATAATCACATTAACGCAATTCATGCAAATACAAGTCTCCATTCTCTCCATTTGTCCTGAAAAGCCCCCACTCAGCAGTTTGTGCTATAGCACCATGCTGCAGCATCCCTGCACTTGAACTTGGGAACAGGCTCTCCAGGACCGCAGGCAGAGCCCTTACCGCATTCCTTTTGAACCTCATCTTGCGTCTCGGGGGATTTGCTTCTGCCATCTCGTCTATACACAGTTACACTCTTCTCTTCCAATTGTCAATGCAACATTGATGAAATATGAGCTGCTCCTTGGGTAGTATTTAAAAACGGCAGCCAAAAATCTCTATCAAACAAAGCTACCGTAGCTGCTTCCATTACAACCGTGGCAGCGCTGCAAAAAAAACACTATCCCTGATTAGTCAGCTGACAGATCCTTCCCTGCTGCTCATTGTAATTCAGAGTGGACACATTCCCCCAATTACTTAGCCTGATTGAACCTTGTGGATTAGCTTGTGCTGGACTGCTCAAGAAGATCAGGCATGTCTTAAGAGTGGAGGAAGGAAAAAACGACTCTCCTAGTAGCAGTCCTGATGCGACTGGCTTTCTCCTCTGCGCAGTTTGATTTTTAAGGTGGAATGCTAGGAATCTTTGTGAAGGTAGTCCTAACTGATCATTTTTACTCTTATCCTACCCTGGTCTGTGACTTAAATTTCAATTCAGTTTTATCTGTTCTTAAATTCCATTCTGGGTTTAAGCCTTGTGAAACGTTACAGTTTGTGAATTTTTGCCCTGATAATGATCTAGGAAGAACAGAACATACAAACTTTCTAAGATGGATGGGATTCTCTCCCAAATTAACCTTTCTACAAAATGTATAACTAAAAAAAAAAGTCTCCTCTTCTTAATTATGAAGTACAACCTAACTGCCTTCATTTATTTTGGAATCTACAAATAAAGGTCTTCAAATTGAATCATATGATTATTTCACAGACACTTGTTTAAAATAATATACCACAGACAATTACACCTAGCTACACAACGATAACTTTCACCAGCAATTCTTTCTGAACGCCAACTTTTACACTTGAAACTAGCTTGTATTCAATATTTACCTTTACTTCAAACACAGTGCCCAGCAGCTATTAATGGTTGAGATATAATTAATGTGCTCTTGAGCTGAGTATGAGTATAGAAACTATACCACAGACAAACACATTGAAAATGTTAAAAAGAAACAACACATAAAACAACCTATAGCCAGTTACGTGTCATCAGCACCTGTACTCCCAGCCTTGTCCAGCACCATTTCTCTTGTATGAAAAACATGACCTCTGTTTGAAGCAACCTATTTGATTAACAAAAATAAAACTACCAAAAAACTGATGCCATGTGCCAGTCACACAATGAAAATTAATCTAATCAAGCGGGTACAGTGTTGTCCAAAAGAAAAAAAGCTGGGCAATAGCAAATGTTTGGTTGCAACAAGTGCTCTATTTAGTATAAGTGAATCAGTTATTGGCATAAACCAAGGTCTACTCAACAAGCCTAAGGACAAATCTCGGAGCAAGGGAAATAAATAGCTTTTATTTCTCCCCATTGATAGGAGTCAATAGCATATGGAGGGCAGGTTTACTCTCTCAAAAGGAATTTTACCTTTTTCTAAAAACATTCAATTTCTTTGTCTACTCATAATCCATTTGGAAAATGATAGAAAACAGCACCAACTGGAATTCATAAAATTTTACTTCTTGCTCTGGGTCTTTTGGTTACTTGTCTATTTGCATTGGACTCATCACATAACCTTTCCAAAGTACATATATCAGTGTAATTTATCATCTGTAAGACAATTACAGTGATACCTGCCTGTAGTACTTAATCAGGAAATAAAGATCTGTAAATAAATCAATAATACTTAATAAATGTGAATGCTTTTGAAAAAGCAAAAGTATATAATACAATGTCAAGGTTTTGTTATTTTACATTAGTAACTTGTATGACTCTGACATTAATTCTTCTCTCCACTGCTTATGATTAAACACCTCTGTTAAACAAATATACAGGAAACCACTTTGCTGACTTGCCCAACATGAGGAATAATTCATGCTGGGTATGAAAAGAATAATGATCTCATTCATTTTACCATGTGAGTGCTAGTTTATTTCTTATGCTTGTTGATAAGATGATATAGCAAGAAGAACATTGGCTCAGAAGTCTAACAACCCAGATTTTTGTCTTGCCTTTTCAAGTAAATCAATTTCCTCTGGTGAGAGTGGCCTCCTCAGTCAGTAGGGAGACAACGTAAGAATTTCAGATGGCTGATGATGTTGAAATCGCAAAGAAAAAAAATATTGATTCCCAGCTACTCTGGTCTGATAGAGAAAGTTGGCCGCATGGTACTTAACAGACAGCCCTAATCTTGCCAGCTCAGAAGGAATCTGTGGGTTCCACATCTCCTTCCTCTTCTTTGAAAGTGAGGTGTCAAACAATGTCACTATATCCTGGTGAGCTAATAATGTAAAAGATCATCCTGGCTGTGGGCAGGATTGTATCTCATATATATATGTACATATATATTTAGGGAAAATGTTTCTCTCTCTGAGTCTTCAGAAGCTGGGGACTAGATTCTAATAGGAGAGATATGTCATTTTCTAAGTGACTCACCTCCCTACCCTATCCTAGGGAAAAAAATCTGTAAAGATACACATCAAAATGTTAAAAAGTGTTTATTTTGGGGTGGTTGGATTGCTGACTATTGTTTTATACTTTCTTCTTTATACTTTTCCATATGCAATGAGTATACAATACAACTATTTCCGCTAAAAAAAAAAAAACAATTCCCATAAAAATGCCTTATTCTGAAAGGCATATAAAACAATGAGTCTCTCCTCACTTATAACTCAGACCACTCACTATGCATTCTTTCCCACTAGGTTTTATTTTGGGTGGAGCTTTCAATATCAGTCTCCACTACAAACGCTTCTTCTACTTTCCCTCCTCACCATCCCATCTATTTTTATTGTCCCCCCAGTATCAAACTAACCTTTCCCCTTTGAAACCAAAAGTATAATGTAAAACAAAAATAAGTTACTGTAGAATACATAGGTACTCACTGAGATTTTTTGGAGAGAAATTTTGAGAGAAGACCATGTATCCAATCTTCGATCCAAAATAATGGTAAACCGGGAGTCAGATCCATTTTGCCTGTAACATAAGAAGAAGTAAGAAGTTTTTCTTAGTAATAACCAAACTTCGATGTACACGTTTTCACTCTATTTCAGATTATTTATCTACATTTGATGTCTTGACTGAAGATAGATTTGGATTTGGAAAGCTATCATAAAATGTTATCTTAGAAAACCATTTGATTCCATATTCCCCTACTCACTATTTATAATTTCTTTTTCAGCACTAATGTCAATCTTTTAAATAGGAAAGTGATAGTGTAATGAAGATAGGTCACTAAAATTGATTTGGAATACTGCAATCTTGGATGTAGGGATGCCCAAAACACAGCTGTCCTTCGCGACATCAGATTTAACTTTTCATGGCAATCCATCTTGAACCAATGACCCATTCATTCAGAAGAACACTGTTAAATATATTTTTCTATCTCTAGTCTGCTCTTTGGGAGGAATGCAATTTAGTGGACAATATAACTGTTATTTTCCCTAAAAAGATCACTTTCAAGCTTCAATGGGTATATTGTAAATTTAGTTTTCTGGGATTTGATTTTTGTTCATGAAACCTCAAAGTTTACCATCCTAAAACAATCAACAAAGCGAAGAGACAACACAGAGAATGGGATAAAATATTTGCAAACTACCCATTTGATAAGGCATTAATAACTAGAATATATAAGGAGCTTCAACAACGTAATAGGAAAAACTCAAATAATATGATTTAAAAATGGACAAAAGATCTGAATAGAAATTTCTCAAAAGAAGACATACAAATGGCCAACAGGTATATGCAAAAATGCTCAACATCATTAGTCATGAGAGAAATGCAAATCAAAACTACAAAGAGATGTCATTTCACCCCAGTTAAAATGGCTTGCATCAAAAAGACAGGCAAAAACAAAGGCTGGCAAGGATGTGGAGAAAGGGGAACCCCCGCACACTGTTAGTGGGAATGTAAATTAGCCCAACCACTATGGAGAACGGTATGGAGAGTCTTCAAAAAACTGAAAATAGAACTACCATATGACCCAGCAGTCCCACTCCTAGATATATATCCAAAAGAAAGGAATTCGAAATATGGAAAAGATATCTGCACTTCCATGTTTATTGCAGCACTATTCAAAATAATAAGATTTGGAATCAACCTAAGTGTTCATCAATAGATGAATGAATAAAGAAATTGTGGTACATATACACAATGGAATATTATATAGCCACAGAAAAGAATGAAGTCCTGTCATTTGCGACAACATGGATGGAACTGGAGAATATTATGTGAAGTGAAATAAGCCAAGCACAGAAAGACAAATCTTGCATGTTCTCACTCATATGTAGGAGCTAAATATTAAAGCAAATGATCTCTTGGAAACAGAGAGTAGAATGACAGTTACCAGAGGCTGAGATGGGTAGTGGGGAGGAGGGAATAAAGTGGGATGGTTAATGGGTACAAAAATATAGTTATTGAGAGTTAGATAGAATGAACAATATTTAATAGTACAACAAAGTGACTATAGTCAACAATAATTTATGGTACAGTTTAAAATAACTAAAAGAGTGGAATTGCAATGTTCCTAACACAAAGAAATGATAAATGCTTGAGGTGATGGATACCCCAATTACCCTGATTTGATTAATACACCTTATATCCCTGTATCAAAATATCACACATACTCTATAAATATATACTATTATGTACCCATAACAATTAAAAATAAAAAATTCAAAGTTTATCATCCTAGATTTTTTCCCTCTTATTCTTCAGGGTTGGTAACTGGAAATGCTTCCTTAACATGTTTATATTTAACATAAATAAAATCTCTAAGGAAGCTTTTCAAACTTTCTATTATAAAGCATTCTACTTCAAAATAATTTCTAACATTAAGACATGCATCCTAGTATCTCCCAATACCACTATTGAGTTTATTTAATATTCAGTCTTCTTGTGTTATCTTCAGAAGAAATGAAAAATAGCTGTCCTCACTCTTGGCTGGTAAGATTTCCTTTTAATCAAATTAAAGCCTTTATGTATGATCATCATTCTCAACCTATATTCTTTTTCATGGAGACAAATACTTCTAGACCCTCAATTTTTTTCATATATCCTAATTATAATTTTTATAGCAAGTTAGGTACCTATAAGCTTCTCCTTCTAAGTTATATTTCTTATTCACTCTGAAGGTAAATCTGATGATTATTCACAATAATAGCTATACTAACAAGTCATTTTCCTGTTATGTCATTCAAATGGGTATCTGATATAAAGCAAATTGAAAAAAAATGTAATGAAATGCTATACCTTGCAATAGATGTGAGGTAAGTGAGTACTTTTGCTATTACTTCCTCTGGTATACATCTAAAATTACAGTTTTCTGGAAACGTAATGATCCAAGCATTGTCCTTTCCCCGGCCACCTAAAAGAGTAGAACAAAATCAACTGAATTAATAATTTACATAATAACAATGCAAGGAAGAAGATTTTATATTTGAGGGGGGTTGCTAGATACTGTTTTGGGCCAACAAAACTTTTGAGGATAATGATCTCCACATAAACCAAAATGGCACCAAGCTTCTGACAAGTTTAAAAAGTGGCAGAGTGGTTTCTAAATGAAAAAAGAAAAAAAAAAGAAGGTAAAATGAATGAATACAGTCGAGACAAAATTTCACAGAATATCTGTAACAAATGTGGTTGAAAAAAATAGCTGATTCCCCAAACTGGACAACCAAGGGGTTGGGAAATAACTGTTTCTACACCAATGTTATGACCCCAAATTCAAAATGAGTGATTGGCAATTTGACAGCAAGTGGAAAACTTGATATAACTGGCCTCTCAGAGTCATGGTGAACATAAAAAGATACAGAGTACACACCATAGAAAATAAGTGATGGTCTAATGTGTTTGTGGAAGAAACAACAGAAGCAACAATAGCAGCAATGGTATAGAAATTTTATTAATGCAAAGAAAGAAAGACCACAAATTCTGAGGGTTAAAATTCAGTGTGCAACCAGAGTGGGAGTGCGAGGTCCGGATCGCGTCGTAGGGTTGCGGTACTCCACCCTGGCCCCACCTCCAAGGCCTGTGTAGTCATTAACCTGGAGGGGTTGCACCCAACAGTACCTTGACCAGGTGGGCACCACGACCCTGGGAAGCATGGGTTCCAGGGTTCATGGGAGAGGCTGCCCTGAGCATATTTCCACAGGGACCAGGAATAGGGGCAACTGTCATAGGGATTCTCGGTGGGGTAACGACTGAGCTTTCATTCCTGTCTGCCCACCTACCTCTCCATCCAGCCCTGTAGCCCTCTATACAGCCTGGAGGATGAAGAACATTGAGAACGAAAGCCATGTAAGTGCAGAGATGAGCCTTACACTTGTTTCAGTTCTCAATCTATAGCCACCCTAACACCTACACACAGAGTAGGTGCTCAAAAAATATTAAATGCTAAATGGAATTTGAAGAATTATTTTAGGAGGAACATTGCAAGGTGGCCTTTGAATTTAGCTCACTAATAGAAATTTTTCGAGAGATTTAGTTGTCATTCTTACTTGGCTGAATTGAATTGAATAAAGATATAAAAATATTTTTAAATTCAATGTTTAATAAAAATATGAGGCTCACGCCTGTAATCCTAGCTCTCTGGGAGGCCGAGGCAGGCGGATTGTTTGAGCTCAGGAGTTCGAGACCAGCCTGAGCAAGAGCGAGACCCCGTCTCTACTAAAAATAGAAAGAAATTAATCGGACAACTAAAAATATATAGAAAAAATTAGCCGGGCATGGTGGCGCATGCCTGTAGTCCCAGCTACTTGGGAGGCTGAGGCAGAAGGATCGCTTGAGCCCAGGAGTTTGAGGTTGCTGTGAGCTAGGCTGACGCCATGGCACTCTAGCCCGGGCAACACAGTGAGACTCTGTCTCAAAAAAAAAAAAAAATATGACAATGACAAAGGAGACAAAATGGAATGATAAAAATGCCCAATCCAAAAGAAGGCAGAAATGGAGGAAAACAAAGAATACATGGGACAAATAGAAAACAAATAGTAAGATGGTAGATTTAAATCCATCCATATGAATAATCACATTAAATGCAAATGACCTAGACACTGAAATTAAAAGTCAAAGATCATCAAAGTGGCTAAAAAGTAAGACTCAACTATATGTTGCCTATAAAAAGCATGCTTTTTAAATATAAAGGTACAAACATGTTAAAAGCAAAAGGATAGAAAAAGATACCATGCTAATACTAGTCAAAACAAAGTTGTCTAATATTAATATTGGACAAAGTAGACTTCAGAGCCCCCAAAGTATTAGATATTAAGAAGGTCATTTGGTATTGATAAAGTAGTTAATTCATCAAGGGGACATAATCTTAAATGCTTACACACCAAATAATAAAGCTTCAAAATACATTAAGCAAAAACTGAGACTCTGTCTCAAAAAAAAAAAGGAGAAACTGTACAAATCTGAACCAAGAGATTTAGTGAATCATTAAACAACAGGCCTCTATAGGTAGGGTATGGTGTAGAACTAGTAATATAATAGTACATCATATATAATGTAACACATATCTTATATATAATATAACTATACACTTGCCAAGCAAGTTCGTGAGCACTCCAGTTAAGGAGAGAACCATCTGGCACTTGGGCAAACTATACCTATCAAAGGAAGGGATGCAAGATTCCTATAAGGGTAAATTATCATTGACTAATCTATAAATTGTTATTATCACTGAGCACCTACAAGTACTGTACTAGGTAGTAAATTTGCGAGAAGAGAACAAAAGAGATATTCTAAATTGAGAGGTTTTAATTATTTTTCCCATTGGGAACCCTTTCTTCAAAAGAAACAACAGGCAGAAGCTTTTT